GCCTCTAGTGAAGGTAAACTCGCGGTCAACTCCTCCACGTTGGTTAAGCCATTGCAGTCCTGGAGACCGTTCACCCCTAGAGGACTGAGGTCTTGCTCTTTGATCTCTGTCGATGGGGACTGGCCCTCATCGGGGAGCGTTTCTGAGGTCGAGGGTGAAGGGGACTGGTTTGTCAAGCTCGGGGAGAGTGACTCCTCCCCCTGTCTGTTGTCCAATGAGAGGCCCTCATTCAACAGAGCCAAGATGTCTGGGGACCCTCCCACAATACTTGAAATGTGCTGGGCGAGAGGAGAGTCTGCGATGTACTCGCAGAGCTTTCTGTAGCAGTCCACCAAGATGCACAGCTGCTTATTCTCTTCAAACTGCTCGTAGTCTTTACACCAGCTGCACGAGGGTTTCATCATCATCTTTTTACCTTTACATGATTTACAGACATAGTGCTGGCACGATGAGTTGGTAGGAGCGATTGGATCTTGTAGCAAATTGCCTAAATAAATAAAGAAACCATGTTTAGGCCATGAAACAACAGAATAGGTATTATAACAACATGCTAATTATGCAAAGAGCAGCCTAAATAGGCAGCTTGGATGCTGTACCTTTGAAATGATCATTCTAATCACAGTTTTGTGGCTCATGAGCAAAGCAATACAAGCACTACATTGTATCTAAACAAGACATGGTTCTGTAACATTCAATAGAAGCCCCGCATATGTGCTGAGTCTGACGTTAAAGGGTCATGTGATCTTGCATGCTGTCGCTCATATTACATGCTCAGCATATGGTTAGCAGGGATCTCAAACGCATTGTGTTTATAAACACATGAACATTATGTAAGCATGCAATGCTTAATATAAATATTAAGCAATTACTGTTGTTTACAAAATATGCATGGATTATCAACAGCTATATTAGAAAAAAGGGAGATTAGCAACGAACTGCCAACTCATTCAAAATAAAAAGCATTACAGCAAACAGGGTTCCCACACCTATTGACCAATCAATTTATTACTTGCAATCAAAGTGCATTTCTAGATAATTATAGATAATAATAAATTTTTATAATTATGATGATCATGCAAAATGATGATAATGATTTGCATTACTGGAAAATGATTAAATAATTATTTATATTTTATATTAACATATTTAATACTTCTTTGTTATAGAACCCCAGTGAATATATTTATATATATATAAAATTATAATGATTTGCATGCCTGGACAATTATGTGTATTTCTTTAAATGTACTTCTAATATATACAATTATAAATAAATATATAATTATTATATATACTATATTTATATGAACATTTTTAATATTTCCACCAAAACACTGTAAAGACGTAATCTGGGTTAACTGGTCAATTTGTCTCAAGCTACCGGTTTTATCTGAATGAGCAAGCAAGCTATTACTATTCAACCGCCATGCATCTATAAACACAGAGCCTGTATGCACAGCTGTGTGTCTAAATGCCCAGGCTCCAGTTGTCATTGTAGGTCAGGAATTTGTGGACTGAATGGGGGTGTGTCATGGTCGGTGGATGTCTGAGAGCAGCTCTAAGCGTGCAGTGATCAAGCAGAAGTGATCATGCAAGCATGCAGTGATGAAGCAGAATAAACGGGCTCTCACCACACACAAGGCAGGCGAGAGACTGTCTGAAAAAAGGCAAGAGCTTATAGATTTCCGCCAAAGCCTGGGGGTCCCGGGGATCGCACTGCAGCACCGACCGACAAGCTGACACGTAGAGAGTGGTCGCATTCACCGGGTTCATCTCAGCAGTGTCGTGCTAGACAGATCCAGTTCGGGGAGGGAAAAAAACGAGAAGGAGCGACAGTACAAGGCTTCAGTCCCGCCGGCAGCCCACGTATCATCGATGTCGATGAACCTGAGCGTGCAAATCCGTCGAGTGTGAAATGCAAGGGAGATTTCAGCAGATATGCTTGTCTTTACATCGCATGCATTAAAACCACTCCATCTTAACGTTTGCCCCTCTTCCACGGCACGAAATACGGCCAGATCATCATCGTCATCATCGGATAAAAGCACATCCACGTTGATCCGATTGAAAACACATTCAGCGATGCATTTGCACAATTTCTTGCATTATTTTTTTTTAATTCAACAACACACTGGTGGTGCTCTTCACCCCACCGGGCCTCCAATTGCCACCAAATTCAAACAGAGAGCACAGACTACCTCCTCGTCTTGTCCTGTATGAACGCAGTCCTTATTTGCAGTGCTATTCCATAGGTTTATTTATTATTCTTGTCGTGCATATACGTGATCAGCCTCAGATCATCATAGCGGCAGCACACAAGCGCCGTCACTGTTATTGTCCGCCGCTCTTCACGGCGCTGCCGCCGCTGCAAATACAGAAAACAGGCCGCTTTTTGTGCACCCAGTCTTCCAGTGCGTTAGGCTGCCAGATATTCACCGTGCATGCTGGCTAAGTAATTTCAGCTCGGGTGTAACAAAGCGCCGTGAGTTAGCTGCCCGTTTGATGTCAGTGTGCGCTGCGCCTCAGGAACAAAAACAGGCCGCTTCGCTTCTTTTTAGGATTTATCCTGCCGTTTTCCTTTCGTTTGGGTGCGTCGTACGTGTTGCGCGAATTTAATATCCACACCATGTGCACAAATTATTCTTTGGAGAAAAACGTATGGATACATATTCAGTAGCGATATTGAAATGTATGTGTATTTGAAAAGGCTTCTCCCCTCCCTTCCTCTCCGCATTAGAACAAGGAGGGGGCGCTGCTGTCCACCTCTCGCGAGAACAAAGGAAGAACGGCTATGGAGAGAGACGCTTCCGGGATAGTCTCGCGATACTTTTCCCGGCTTGGGAGGCTGTTGTGTTTAACTCGCGAGAAGAGACCGCAAACTAGTGTGGGCGACTGGTTCCCTTGGTTACATAAACGTTATGATGTGGGGCGTGGTCCCCAAAAAACGCAGGAATAAACATAACAACAGTACGTAAAACATCATACATGATTAAAATAGAGGTCAAATTACATTAAAGATAAATAAATAAATCGATCAATTATTTTCCCATCCATTTTCTCTGAATTGTAAGGCTTACACAAAGACACTATTACAGTTTTTCTGAATTGCTAAAACACTAAACCCCAATCTCTGAACCAAATTCTCACTAGCTTAAACCAATTTGTCGAATAAAGCAGTCTTTCTGCCAAACTTTAAATACGTTCAGGCAGTTAGGCTGTATTTGCAAATCTCATGCACTATTTTGCAAAACTCTAAACACATTCTCATTCACTTAAACATTTATCACATGGTGATGCTGCAAAATGTTAAACACAAGCGGCAAAAGTTAAACACAACTAAAGCACAGTTGTCATCGTTTACACACAATGATTCAAAATTGTTCACACTTGTTTCTAAAGCTGTGATCAAACCAACTGTACATAACATGAGCCAGTTCAGAGTGCACAAGTGGCACAGGTGACTGAATGATGATACGAACAATAGATGGAAACAATCTGAGAAGGAGAGGAGGAAGAGTACATGTAAGAAGTGGAGGATGAGGAGAGAAAGAGTAAGGTTTACTGTAAAGAGTGTTATCAAGGCTGGATCTGTCAGATCAGGGGTTTTTTTTCTCTTTGTCTAGCAAAAAAGACAACATTACTTGTGGTGTGGACAAAGTCCTCAGGCTGGACTCAAGCACAAAGACATGATGCTGAGACAGAATGAATCTCTCATTGACCCTGATTTTACAATTGCACAACTTACAGTATTTGAGTGTACTGTAACATGCTATTCATTTAGAGTGTCATTTGACCTTTGCAGTTAGACTGCAGTATTTTTGCAGTATCCAAGTGCTGAATATATACAAACATTCAGTACCATTTCATATTCAGCACAATACTATTCTTGCAGTACATACAGTTGGCCTATACAATATATTCACCTTACTCAGTTGCAATTACTATACTTTTTTACAGAATTACAAAATTGTTTACTCAATACAATATACTTTTTTCTGTAATGCTCTGGATGCTGTTCTCCATTTTTCTCTGTAGTGTCTAATGAATGCTCTGTAGTGTTAAACAAACCTGAGTGTGTGTGTGTGTGTGATCTGAGAGCACCGTTTGATTTTGAGTGCAAGTGAAATGGTTTTGCAGTGATTGTTTGAGTTTGATGGAAGAGTCAGAGGTTTATGAGTATTTGGATTTGTGCTTAAGGTTTTGAGAAAATTAGTGACGGGTTCAGGAAATGTGTTTTAGCAATTCAGAAAAACTGTAATTACTCTATATCTAGCTATCTATCGGTCTATCTTTTTTTAAATAACTGTGAATCCAGAAAACATGTCATTTCAACAGCACCATCTAATGCGTGCAGCAATTAATACTAAGCTATGAATAAAAATCTTTTCTTTCTGCATAGCATACTTTTCAGAATACATTCTGATTTCTCCTGCTTCAGATGGATATTACAATAGATTTAGACTGGCAGAATTAACCGAATTTTATAGTTTTTAATATGCATATTTATATATGACATTAGTATATTTAAATCTATCAAAATATTCTATATTATTTAAATATTATATTTATATTAAATAAAACAGCATAGTGTTGTATTGAAAACTAGTCATATCTCCATCTTGATTTTCTCCATCTTTGAATTCAGTTTGATTATGTTGGCTGGAAGCCTGTTTCCCAATAAAACCAATGTTTGTTGACTCAATCCTTACTCTGTTCCTTTACTATGTCTCAGAGACTTCTCTTCATATTTTGAGGATCTTGAGAATGTTATTTTTACGTAGATATGCCTCACAGAATGTTAATACCAAACGGAGAATAATCCAAACAAATCTTGTATGTAGCAACAATTAACGTGTAATAGAAACAAGGTAGGTTTCACAAAATTCTTTTGAAAATACTTGACAATATTTTTAAATACTTTTATTTAAACTTTTTTTTTTTTTTTTTATATTCTATTCTATTCTGATTGAGGTGGTTTTAGTCACTGCACACATGGTTAGAATTGCTGTGATGTCTTCTCATGACTTATTGCTTTAGTAAAGGACACAAAAGCTTTCTGAAATGTCAACTGCTTAGCATCATGGTCAGTAGTGCGAGTACGTACACCTGCTGTCTCACTCCACCACTGCGTGATTTCATGTAGTTCATCCCTCCTCTATCTTTTCTGTTCACCTCCTCCATCTTCTGCTGATCCAACCATGACATCTGCATCTGAGGGCTGAATGTGAGGGAACAAAATGATGAACTGATGCAAGAACAGCGAGAGAATTGCTTCAGCAGGAGCTCAAGTTACATAAGAAAACAGTATGTTCTGCATAATGTTTCTCCAATCTTTCAACAAGCTGCCTGTTTTTATTAGGCTCGAATGCCATACTTGTGCATGTAGTCTGGTTCTGAGCCTGGTTCCGACAAGTCTTGGTCTGGGATGTGATCTGCTGCCTGTCTGGAGTTTTCTCTCAGGACAGTGGATGTGAGCTGTGGGGTGTGGAGGCCCCCTGGTGTCTGAAGTGTGTCATTACGCATTACCCATGAACCCTCAACACTCTCTTCTGTGAAATGACACAAAGACATCAATGTCAAATCAGATTATTCCTAGACTATGTCAGCGCTATTCAGCAGGAGCTCAAGTTACATAAGAAAACAGTATGTTCTGCATAATGTTTCTCCAATCTTTCAACAAGCTGCCTGTTTTTATTAGGCTCGAATGCCATACTTGTGCATGTAGTCTGGTTCTGAGCCTGGTTCCGACAAGTCTTGGTCTGTGATGTGATCTGCTGCTGCCTGTCTGGAGTTTTCTCTCAGGACAGTGGATGTGAGCTGTGGGGTGTGGAGGCCCCCTGGTGTCTGAAGTGTGTCATTACGCATTACCCATGAACCCTCAACACTCTCTTCTGTGAAATGACACAAAGACATCAATGTCAAATCAGATTATTCCTAGACTATGTCAGCGCTATGGAGTGAGAGACAAGGGAATAACAAGGTGTTTTATATGCAGTCTATTATTTAAGATGTCTTATATGAAATATTAAAGCTTTTCTTCTACCTTCCGGTCGTCTTTTGTGCTGTGGCAGTCGACCCCTTTTGCTGCGGACCGTGCTGGTTTTGCTGGTAGAGCTGGTGCCGGTGGTGACAGACAGTCGGTCGTCATCTCCTCCTGTCAGCAGGGAGTTCCTGTACGCGATGAGAGGCAGCCAGACGTCCTCTCTTCTCTCCATCATATACTCCGTCATAAACTTCTCCAGATATGAATGACTGTGGCATGAACACATGTATCAGAGCCAATCAAACATGTTGTAACATATGCACAAATACAGTATTAAGCATAGGGCTGTAAAATCGATTTATCACGATTAATCACATATATAAATGTACATATATCTGTAGTCACAGTATTGTGTTTTTTATGTATTGAGCTGCCATAATGACATTTTCCTTTGGGGATTAATAAAGTTAATCTAATCTAATCTATATATTACATTTTTATATTTCTTAAATATATACACGTATGTGTGTGCATATATATATATATATATATATATATATATATATATATATATATATACATACACACATACACACACATATACACAGTACACACATGTATTACGTAAACAGACTTTTCATTTTGGATGCGATTAATAACGATTAAACGATTTTACAGCCATAACTAAATGTCTGGACACACAGTTTTGATGATGTTGTCATTCTAAATGATAAAAATTTGCAATAATAATAATGACTTGAAGTGGTATGTCCACCAAATGGCTTTCTTTTTTCTGTTGAGCACAAAAGAAGGTATTTTGAAGAATGTTAGGAACTATACTATTTTGGTTCCCGTTTACATTGTATGGACAAAAAATATAATGGGAACCGAAAACCGTTTGGATTCTTTATAATATGTTAATTTATGTTGAACAGAAGAAAGTAAGTCATTCAAGGTTTGGAATGACACGAGGGCGAGTAAATGATGATGATTTTCATTTTTGGATGAACTACCCCTTTAATAGGGGTGTTCACATTTTTTACTGCTACTGCACAAAATATACACACGTAAAACAGTCACAAAGCGTTTTCTGCACTTACACAGTCTTTTTGTCTTGTCGTAGGAGTTTGGAGGAGAACTCACAGAGCACCTCCAGGAAGGCCAGGTTCGGTGGTGGGTACTCTGGTCCTTTTGGATTCGGGACCTTGAAGGCGAACTCAATCCCATCCCTATGTTTGTTATATAAAACCAGTTTATGCAAACATTCACATTAAACATCTAGAGTTAGGTTATTAAAGTCAGTTCTGGTTCTGCCAATAATTGCTTTTAATTCTTTAGATAGAAACGGTGTAGTAAAGATGAAGCAAGCCAAGTTTCTTACTTGTGCAGTGTGGCCACGGCCTCTCTGGTTTTGATCTGGTCCAGCCCAAATGTGAGTGCAAAGCGACGGGCCAATTCCTTAATGCCACTGACATGTGAGGACGTTCGGTCCAGGTTGGGTCCTTGGTCCTGGATCAGCTCATTGAAGAGCTGCAGACAAGGAAAGTGTCCAAATCGAACATTTAAAGCATTAGGGAGGAAAGTTGTACAAGATTCAAAATCCATAACCGACTGTGAAAATGATCTAATCCTAAAAATTACATCTCATACCTGCTGCAAGCTGAGGATAAGGGTCTTTGCACACTGGATCTTGTCCATCTGTCTGGTCTTACTCAAGGTTTCTTTGATGATGTCTCCATAGTCATTGTAATACTGAAAAACGAACACCAGTCATTTGAATCACATTTGAACCATAATAGATCTCTGTGGCTTAAATTGATCAGGTTTTCATACCTTCATATATTGTTTGAAGATGTCAGCAGCAGCAGGCATGTCCACAATGTCGTAGATGATTAGTTTGCTGAAGGCGGCCAACAGATTCCTCCTCTTATGAAGGGCCTCAATCTTATTAGCTTCGTCCTCTTCATCACCCTCTGAAAGAAAAAGCCCAACTTTAAGTGAAAATTTTAAGGTAGAGTCTGTTTAAGTAGTCTTGATAGAAAAGTCTTTTCTATATGCTCTAGAATAAATAAATAAATTCTCAGGATAGCTCTGATCACAAAAGTTCAAGTGCATCAGAACACATACGCACCCATGCTCTGATTTTCATCATCCTGGTCGATAAACACGTGATCCAGGACAAAGTTGAGCAGTTCATTCTGCAGAGTGCTGTCTGGATTGAAGACCAGCGGCTGCAGAGCTTCTCGGCCGCCTGAGACCAACTGGTGACTGAAAATCATCAGCAGGTCACATAGCAACATGAAGGCCTGTGGAGATAAAACAGACAAACTCTTAAATTTCATAAGTGAATGTTTCAATGTGCACTATGAGTCACTCTTTTTAAGGCTATAATTAAAGAACACCAGCAAAAGGTCACTAAAATGCCTCCACTCACCTGCTCTTTGACTGGAGTGTTCACATTAGACAGGCACTGTTGGCAAACCGCTAGAAATGACTTCACCACTCTTCTTAATGCCACAAGATCATCCTGCCCAGGAAACGCATATGAACGTCTATGTCACATAATTCTCAGAGAACATCGATAAATCAGGCTAATGTACTTGGCAACTGTATACTATGGGGTCTACTGCACCTTTGATGGACATCCTTCAGTAATTTTCACCAGTTGCCACAGGATGGAGTAATGAGAGCACTGCAGAGCTTGGACAGCGATCTGACCACAAGACAAGAGAATATAGATTCATCATTTAATGCACATCATGAGTTACAAAAGGCTATAGCCTACAAAAGGCTAACATGTTACAGCATCTGACATTATGATGTATATAAAAGTTCTTATGTTATCAATGTGTCTTTTTTTTTAATTTAATAGTTTGCCAAGCTTTTATTTTTGTTTTGTACAACACTCCATTTAAAAACTATGGGGTCTGAAAGATACATTTTTTTTCTCGTGTGTTCATCACAGATGCATTTAATAGGTTCTTATGCATTTATTATTTATTATTAAATAAAATCAATAATATTGTAAAATATTATTATTCGAATATAATTTAAATGTAATATATTCCTATAATGCCAAATGCTTATGTTTTAGCAGCAATTACTCCAGTTTTCACTGTCAAATAAGCTTTTAAAAAAAATCATCTTAATATGCAGATGTAATGCTCAAGAAACATTTCTTATTATCAATGTTAAAATCTGTTATGCTACTTAAATATTTTTTGGAAACCATCAAGCATTTTTTTTTTCGGGATTCTTTAATGAATAGCAAGTTCAAAAGAAAAGCATTTATATAAAATAAAACATTATAACAGTCACTTTTTGTCAATTTATGCATCCTTGTCGAATAAAAGTATTAATTTCTTTAAAAAAAATAAAAATAAAATAAAACTTCCTATCCCCAAACATTTTAGTTTAAAATTATGCAATTCAGCTACTGTTTTGTATTTGTATATGTATATGTTTGTATATGTGAGTTTGTGTTTTATGCCAATTTATTTCATGTTACTAAGTTAGATCATTAGAATTCTGTCGATCGCCATCCATTTTCATTGGTTAACACGTTTACCTGCTCTGGCATGGAGCCCTGTTCGATCCCCATCTTCAACAATCGATAACAATTTTTGAAAAGGTCCCACTTTGTAAGGTCATGTGCACTAGAAAGCATACAAAACAAACCTCAATGTTCTGTAGACAGAAACAAATTCTGCATTTCCAAGACAAAAATCAGAGGGAATTGGTCTCTTACTTATGGAACGCAGTGAGCTTCTTTAGCGTTGAAAGAACGTTATAAATGTCATCATCATCTGCTTCATCGCCCTAGAAATAAGAAAATGAACGAAGACAGAATTTCATATCAAATGCACAAAGGCCAGTCACTAATATTAATACAGTACATGAGATGAAATGCACTGAAATGAAGCTGCTCTTTCACCTCCTGCAGCAGGTCTTCTACTGAGTGAGCGAATCTGTCCATGAGCTCGTCGATGAGTTGACTGCGAGCGATGTCCACGCGGTTCATGATGGTGTATTCTTCACTGCACAAGATGCTGTAAGTCTTGCTACACGCTTCCAGAACCTCCATCTCAGCGTGCTTCTCCACCACCACCCGGATCTGCTTCAGCAGGGCATCCAGATGCTAGACACAGGAATAAATATCAGAAAACAACTAAACAATGTGTCGGCCTAGATTTTTATTTCACAGTAGTAAGAACTCCAACAAACCTTTTCCATTCGTCCTGAGCTGTAGACTTCAAGATCAAAGTACTGAGGGATCTGAAGGAGGTTCGCCACCTTTTCAGCATCAGCCTGGTACTAAAGGCAAAAGCAAAACAAATGTGAAGCATATTTTCTGTAACATTCAAAGTTACAGAAATTTGTTTCAGCGTCTTTCTGCCATCACAAGCTGGCTTTGAAGTATTAGTTGAGAATGTTTTTGCATTTATGTATGTATATGTATATTTATATTTGGTGCTCAAGTAATATTTCTTATTATCAAATTAAAAAAAAACGTTGTGTTGCTTAATATTTTTGTGGAAATTTTTTCAGGGTTCTTTGAAGAACAGAAAGTTCAAAATAACAGAATTATTTAAAAAAACAAATTTTTTTCTTTTTTTTTTTATAATAATATGGAAGAAACTGTATTATATTGAAATCTTAAACAAGGAAGTACCGCAGCCTGCAGAGTCATAAGAGATAATTTGCATGTATGACAAACAGATGATATAGACTTCACAAGCTTATGCATCCCTCTAGATTTTAGTCACAAGTATAAATGAGGATAGGACAGGTCAGGTATAAAACAAATCTTTTTCAATATGATACATTTCTTTATTGTCACATTTAATCAATGTAATGCATCCTTGCATTTTAATTTCATTAAAAAAAAAAAAAGCTGATTTCTTGAGCAGCAAATCAGCATATTAGAATAATTTCTAAAGGATCAGGTGATGCTTAAGACTGGGGTAATGACAGCTGAAATTTAAAGAAACTACATTTTAAAATATTACAATAGGATACAGTTGTTTTAAATGGAATTTTTGTTTTTATGTTTTTTCCTTTGATCAAATAAATGCACACACTCGTAGTGTGTCGTAACAAAATAGGAAGAAGGAAAACCATCAATGGATTATGTGTGGATTATGTAAAGTGTAGACAACTTTCTTTGATTATAATAACATCAATCTGGTTCTGTTTTGCATGTTTTGAAAACTATGTTGATATTCTCCTGTTTTATGAACTCTGACATTCCTGGGCCTTGGTACTTTACCTTTGACAGCAGCATGGGCAGAGCAACAATCAAGTGTTCAGTCAGCCTGTTCTTATCGTCAATCTGTGTCTTCTTCTCTTTGGCAGTGAGCACCTGAGGGATGTGCAGAAGAACAACAGAAAATCTTTAAACCTAGAGTCTATAATATGTCTACAGTAAAGACTGATTCCGAGACAACTTACCCTCTTTCCTGTTCCTCTGCCCACAGGCGGATGAGCTTCGGCTGCCTGTCTGATGGTACAGACCATGAGCTCGATCAGTGCGCCCTCATGACGGTCTCCCAACACTACAACAAAACCCACCACCAGACAGGACTAATGAGTAAACAGACATGCTAGTTTCATCCAGAATGAACTGAAATAAATGTGGGTGGCTGTACCCTCTTCCCCCTGCACAGGGTCCTCCAGCAGGAGCTCGACCATGCAGTCCCAATCTTTCAGCAGATCCTGTGAGCTGTCCCATAGACTGTCCACCAGGTATGCTCCATGCTCGTGAAGCTTCCATGCAAAAAGGTAGTATGATGGTTAGATAAACAGCAATAACCAGTGTTGGGAAAATATTAGGAGCTAAGAATTGGCTGTCTTTTAAGGTGGCGGAATTTTAATTGAATTGGCCACATCCCACAGGAAGTTGAATAGGAATAACAGGATTGCATGCATACAAAGATTTCAAGGGAAAACAACTAAATAACTGTCTAATTATGATAACTGTGAATAATGCAGGATACACAAGATTCTCAACTGATCACAATCTTTCAAATTAAGTTAAATTAAGCAAATGCAACTAAATAACTGTCTAATTATGATAACTGTGAATAATGCAGGACACACAAGATTCTCAACTGATCACAATCTTTCAAATTAAGTTAAATTAAGCAAATTAAGACAAAACCAACACAAGCAGATTTAAAAAAAATGGAAAAAACAATTAACATCAAAAAGGATTTTAATTTGTACCCCACAAATGTTCATCGCATTATCAATAGCCTATATATAAACGAATCAAATAAAATAAAACTGAATACAAGTATATAATAAAAATATAAATTGAAAAATTCATAAAAAAGAATAAATACTGACAAAATAAAATTAGCTATAAGCTAGAACTGGGACAATAAATGATTCATTGTGGTCTATAAAAGAAAAGTTAATTTCAAAACGTTAATTTATTTTCTAAAATATTTATTATGAATTTTTGAACTGTACATTTATTTAAGAACTGTATTGAAATGTAATGTTTAAAAATAACCCATGTGTTAAATTAATGTGAAAAATCTTTAATAGGCAAGTCATAACAGCAGTTTGAATTTATTTGAATTTTATTCCATTTTAATTCTCCTTTCTCGAATTCCAAATTGGATAACAATTCTGCATCCTGCTTGCTAAACCAATTTGATTTAAATTTTAAAATTTCACGGCACTCATCCCTGTTAGTAACACATTCTCAATAAAGGGATGAGCTAATAGATAAATGCTCGGTGAATAAAGGCTGTGCATAAAACCATCAAAAATACATTAATTTTTCTCACCTCGCTCTCCAGGAAGAAAAGCACTAGCATTCTTATAAGGTTCCCATTAGGGCTGTTTCGGCCTCGTCTTTTCGCCAAAGCCTCCTCAGCCTGAGGGTCATGCCTGCTAAATAACCTGCAGCAAGACACAAGCAACTGATCAAAACATTGGAGGAGTTTGATATGCTGACATCATGTTTAAGAGTAAAACGTGGCTGTCAAAAACACATTCATTCATCTCACTTTCTATGAAGGAACTCTCCAGCTGCCACAGCAACAGGACGATGAGCCGAATACACTAGATGGTAGACGTTCTCACAGTCTTCATTAGACAAAGCATCCTCACTACCACTACAGGAAAAAGAAAAAAAACAAAAGAGAGATTTAAGGATGTAGAAAGATGTGAGAGGTGGAAGAACGAGTCACACAAGAGAAATCTTATAAGAAACACAGGAGACTAATTAATATTCTGTAATATGATAATCATATTACTATATTATTTTGCAATAAATACCTACTACATTTACAGTACTCAACAGTACAACATAGCATACTGTAGTTTGAAATGTTTAATAACGCTCTCTAATAAATAAATAAATAATTTATATTAAACTTTTTATATAAGTATGTAAATGTATGTGTTTATATAAATATTTATATACACACACAAAAATAATAAAATAAAATGAAATATTTAACAGACACGGAGTCAAAGAATCTAAAAAAATAAAGACTGTGTGAAAAATACTTACTGCAGAATCAAAGTGACAAGTCGTATGGCCTCTACTGCCACATCATACTCTTTATCCAATGTCATAGACACAATACGGTCCTGAGAGAAAGGAAGTGACATTATAACATTTCCAAACTGATGCCTACAGCACTCAGGCACATTTTGAAAATTGTAATAAAGGTATGGAGAGATATAATAAAAGCTGTTATAGAGTATTCAGAATTGTGCATGTATGTCACCTTAAATCGATTGGTGAAGAGCTCAAGTTTGGGGTATAGCTCTCTGTTGGTGTAGAGGGTCTGAAGAGCCTTTAGACATTTGAGTCGAACTTCACCTTGCTGTAAAGGATTATATAATTTAATTAAAAAATTTTTTGATCAACACTATTTAACATGAAAAAATACATAATTGTATATACTAGATTATGTTACTGATAACTATCACACACACAGAGAAATATACACACTTACTCTGTCATGTAGCGTCCATCCCACATACTTCAAGTAACTGTCATTGAGAAAAGCATCACTGTATAACTTCATCCAAACGCCAATTTCTTCTATGCAAATAGCTCTGATTTCCGCTATGGCATCTCTGAAAGAAATCAAGAGAACATAATATGAAGTCCTCAGGATTATGAAACATCTGGTTTCTAGTCATTTGTGATTTTTGGATAAGGATATGTCAAAAACTCTGACATTGAAAAGTACAAATTGCTCACAAATGGGTTTCTACCTGCTATTTGTATGCCACTCACCTGTAACGGTGAACAAAAATTCCCTTGAAGATTGAGTTCATCATGTTCTCAATCTCATCTTGGTTTTCTTGGAGCTAGAAGATGAAATAAACAAGAAAACACATTGAAAATCGTGTTCATGAGACCATAGAACAAAACTCAGAAGAAAAGGAAGCCATCCCACCTCTTTCCTCTTCTCCAGCAGCAGTTCCAGCTTCTCGTTGGCTCTTTTCCCTGCGACCTTATTCCGTTCGGCCTCATACTGCCTCTGTGTGTTATCCTGATTGATGCTCAGGTTCAGAGCAACATTTACCAGGGCTGTCATCAGTTTCATTGCTGCAGCAGAAACGAGACACATGACTGAAATGAATAACTCAACTGCAGTATCAGGTATAACTTCAAGGTCAATGACTGACCTGCCAGCGTGCTGGTGTGTCTGAAGGCTCGGACCTGTGAGTCTGAGAGCCCAGTGAGCAGAGAAATGACGGTGTCCATCATGTATTCATCATAGATGATGCTGTACTGGCACTGACGGATCAGAACCATGATGAACTCGCAAAAGTTATATCGGAATTTCTTCCACTGCGGCCCTGCCATTGTGAGAGGGTAGTCGCCACTGTCCTGGATTTGATGAGCATAGAAATTGATTAATTCATTAACATTTAAGAATTCAGGTGGAAAAAATACAGTCAAAAATAACAACAAACCTCATCAAACTCCTCTGTCATCTTTCTGATAATTTCAGCATTCTGCATGTTCCTGAACATCTCAATCCTTACAGTGCCTGCGATTGTTTGTGAAATAAATTAATACTGTTTTTCAGCAAGTATGCATTAAATTGATCAAAAGGGACATTAAAAGGCTTTTATAATGATACAAAACACATCAAATAAAAGTTGTTCTTTTGAACTTTTAAAGCAGCAAAACTGTTTTCAAACACTGATAATAATAATAAGAAATGTTTCTTGAGCACCATATCAGCATATTAGAATGATTTCTGAAGGATAATGTGACACCGAAGACTGAAGTAATGGCCATCACAGGAATAAATTCCATTTTAAAACATTAACACAACATTTTAAAAACTGCAATGATATTTGACAATATTGCTGTTTTACTGTATTTTTCAGCAAATACATGCTTCTTTTAACATCATTAAAAATTATAAAAAAATAAAAATCTTACCAATCCCAAACTTTTAAATGGTAGAGTAACTGCAGATTCCTATCCCTATTTAAATCAATTTTATTTAATGCTGATTTTCAAAGCATCTAATTTTTTTTCCATCAACAGCATATGATTTAAGGGAATAGTTGCCAAATCTTGTTTTCTGTGGCTGTACATAGGAATCAAGTGATCAGTTGATTGAGATTCCTCTGTAAATACATGTATTACCTTATTATTAATATAGATGTTTAATAATACATATGTTGGTGCATATATATGTTCCTAGATATAGATGTAATTTAACTTCAAATTGCTTAGATACACAGTCATTTGAGAAAGAATCATGATGTATGAATATATTTTTCTCCCCAACCCTAATTCCTATGATTGCAATTGACCATAATTCATAGTTAAAAAAAAAGCAACTTTGGAACTGTTGAGAAACAAATGAGATAAATTACCTTTACAGCCAGAACACTGAATGAAAAAGTTGATTAGATCTAGGAGTGCAAGGTCTCTGTCTTGCTTGTAAGATTCAATCCAGTCATCAATGACAGACTAGAAACAAATGCAAAGAGAAAAACAGTCACTTAGCACAATACCACCTCAAATAGTCAGAAACAGGCAGCAAGACACGTGTTGTGTTTTACCTGCATGGCACTTTTGCCTTGTTTGACCACCTCAAACAGAGTGCTGGGGTCTGTGCCCTCTCCATTCTGATGGGCCACTCCATTCGGCCTCCTCCCGCCTTTATCAACCGGAGACCTTCGGGCCTTCTTACTGGCCGCCTGGCAAAAAAAAAAAAAAAAAAAAAAAA